TTTTTGAGATGGGCCGTTACTCTGTTGCCAGCGCTGGAGTGCAGTGGCACGACCTTGGCTTACTGCCCACCTCTGCCTCCCAGGTTCAAGCGATTCTCCTGCCTCAGCCTCCTGAGCAGCTGGAACTACAGGTGCGCCACCATGCCCCAGTTAATTTTTTTTTATTTTTATTAGAGACGGGGTTTTACCATGTTGGCCAAGCTGGTCTCAATCTCTTGACCTCGTGATCCGCCTGCCTCAGTCTCCCAAGTGCTGGGGTTACAGCATGAGCCACCGCACCTGTTTTTTTTTTTTTTTTTTTTTTTTTTTTTGAGACAACCGTCTTACCATGCTTCCGCCACACGCTGTTATTTACCTTGTGCCAGAAGAGATACTCGCTCTGCACGAGGCTAGATGCTGGCATTTTTCCAAGCATTAGAGAAAGGCAGCAAACCAGCCACATGAGGTCCTCACCCTCAGGGAACTGACAGTCTGATTTAAACCTAAATGCTGTCATAATCCATTTAATACCACCTGTTATATAGGACTGGTCTAAGAATTAAATGCCTGACCTAATGTCTGGAACCCAGCAACTGTTCAACAAACGTTAGTTCCATTCCACAGTCCAGGAAGGAATGGCAGATTTTCTGTTTCTAGTTCCAGGATGGAAAACACTGCGTATTTCTATGTATATCAAACTGCATTCTTCATTCCACTCACAGGTTTTGTCAGGCCAGGATAAAATGAAAACTGAAAATAGAAATCAGTAAAGGAGGGCCCAAATCCAGCCCAGCTCTTATTTATGTAAATAAAGTTTTATTGGAACACATGAACATCAACCCATTTAAATGTCATCAAGGGCTACTTTCATGGTACAGTGGCAGAGGTGAATAATTGCAAGAGATGGTCTGATCCTTTACCAAAAAGTTTGCCAATCCCTAACTTAGAGTTCTCTCACTTCAGAAGACACACAATATTCATTGATTTGATGTCAGTTGTTAAGCACATACTTTTACTACTATATACATTACATAAATGGACAACTAAGCGATATACAATCTTTACTAAAAAGTTTCTTGACCAAGCACAGTGGCTCACACCTGTAATCTATAATCAATGTGTATTTTCACATCTGTCTATATAGTGCACATATACTTTTCATGTACATACCTTTACAGAGAATTTTCTTATCAAAATCAGGGAAGTGAATATTTTGTTTAGCTTGGACACTTATAGGTATCATTA